CTTTGTTCTTTCTGCTCAAGCAACCTTTTTACTACCATTTGACCTTCATAGGGGTCTTCTGGGAGAGAATCTGCTGGTTTCATCAAGTGTTTTTAATCCTTATGTTATTTTTTTTGTTTGTTTTTGGCCGTGAATCACTAAATAGACAATATGAATTGGCTGGTATGAGACAGGTCTTCCTATGGTACAATGACAAAAATCAGGTTCTAAATCAACGAGGTCAAGACTCACACCCACGTGCTTATGTCTCCAATGTTATGTCACCAACCACAGGGTCTTTCAGGAGGCAGCTTACTCCGGGGGCCACCTACAAACACCTCTGGCTTATGGCAGGCTTCTTAAAATTCTACATCCATTATGTTATCTATGCATAACAGCTGCACAAAAAAGCTGATTTAAAAAAAATTCTACTTCTCTAACTGGGAAATAATCACATACAGAATAATCTTTTTTCTTTTCTTGACACAATTGCAGCAGTCTTAATTCTTTCCCATGTTTAGATACACGAATCATCCATCACCTATTCCAGGACTCTTAAAGTCTGAAATTTCTTAAATTTCTAGATTTAATAAAAAAGGTCATAAATTCAAGTATTATCCTAAACATCAGATGGACACTCCCCTCTAATTCAGCCCTTACTATTACGGGCAAATTGTACATGCAATTCACAAACCATTTTTTGTGAAATATAAAATGTGTTTTAAAACCTTTAAAAATAACATTTGAATGATACAATTGTTTAATCATTGCCACCTATGCTAAATCTCACCCACACATTTTGGTGTCAAATAGTCCCAACTTGCTAACAACAGTAAGCTTTTATGAGGTACCTCGCATAAGCAGTAACACGAAGGTTCAGTTATGGTCCCTAATTGCACACCTATGGTGATAGGAAGCACGAGGCCAACTTTCAACCACCTGTGAAGGGCAGAGCCATTTTACTGACTGATCATTTACACAGTTTAAAGGCCTTTAAATAAATAACGGAGGGGGAAGGAGGTAGGGAAGAGAGAAAAAGAGAGGAAGGAAGAGAGGAAGAAGAGAATAAAGATCTCTTACAGGAGTCATCTACATATTGCTTCATGGGGATCAGAACAGTAATCAGCGCTATAATAAACCCCAAATCAAATGAACACAACATAACACCAAATGTATCACAAGCAATCCTTGTAATTGTTTAGCTTCTCACAGTTCTCACATAACAAACTGACAAATTCACGATTTCCTCTAAAAATAAACATGAAAAACAGTATCCTGGAAGACTCTTGTTCTTTTCTTTTCGTTGTGATGGTGACACCGAGCCTGACCCATGGAGAGCTGCTTCCTTCTGTGGTCAGCACCTCTTCCAACCTGCAGAGGTAAGCCCCAGGGGGTCTGGCGCGGACAGCCCCTGGGAACCCCAGCTGACTGCTCATATGTTACTTGCACACGCACACACATTCTGTCAAAAACTGCCCCAGGGGTGAATGTGGTGAGTACAAGCACTGATACATCTGATACATTTATATCAGGAATAAGTTTAATTGTAAAAAAATCAGATTAAACTATAATAAAAATGACATGAGAACCATTTATAATTATAAAACATCATCATCACAATCATCATAAATCTGAATGGAAGATTCTTTGGTATTTGAAATCAGTCTCTGAAAGCACAGATTGAATTTAGTGCATTTCACAAAAAATTGCAAAGCTCCAATATTAAAAGTACCTGGCCAAAGAGAAACTTGTTAAAACACTGACACACTGTTTCAAAGAGGAAATATCACTGAAAATCAACCTAGAAGTTCCAAATGGGAGCCATGCTCTCATTCAACAATTTAGAAAGACTCTGCTGAACGTGGCTCAGGACAGCAGCTTCAAATTCTCTCTACACCCCTCCTCCGAAATGCTTCTTTTAGTAAAAGGGGAGCCCTCATTCTTTATGCCTCTATTCTTTATGAACCCATCACAGCAAAAAAGCCCATGTTTGTTCTTAAAGTTAACCAGTTTAGCCCATCCTAACCCTTGCGTTGTTTTGCCCTGCTCACAGCATTTCTCAGCTCTTAAGTGTTGGCCTTCTTGCCCCAGGATTCAAGTTCACAGTCCCTCATTTCACTCTGGAGAATCAAGAAAAAAGGATGTGTTCTGTGAAGAAAGATCACAAATCTGTTTTGTAGGAAACTGTTACAAATATATATAACTAAATTTTTAAAAATGGACCAGTCAGCTCAAAATGTCACAGGAAGTTAAATGTCTTCAATTTCAACATACAAAAAAATTACAGAAAATAATTCTCATTTCTAATTTTTACATGTCTATAAAAATATTATCAAGCTTTAAAATATAATCTTAAGAAATGTTTCTCTATCACAGTTACCAAATAGCTAACTCTCCATTATTTAAAAAATTTTTAAAAAGTCACCAATATGGTTAGACCCAAGGCTCTAGGGAGATGGCCCCTAGGCTCACCTCTGAAAGTCTCTTAACCCTGAGTTGCAGGAGACACTAGGGCTGCAATTCTAGTCCCAGTGCTGCCTCTAAATGGTTTTGGACAAGTTATTTATCCTCCTCAAACCTCAATCTTGCCATTGTTAGCATTTTCCAAACTGTTCATAGGAATATTAATCTCATGAAAAAGGGATCCGTGGTCAAATTAAGTCAGAAACTGCTGCACACAACTTCTATTGAGGAGATTCACAATGTGCATCAGCAGCATTAAAGGCTCTGAGAAATCCTGCAGCGTGTTTGTTCAACTGTGTATCAATCTTAGATGACCTCAGAATCCCTTTACTGACTAGCACTTACTAGCATCCTCTGGATCATTCTCTGGAGAACCCTGGTCCAGTGGCCGCAGGTCTCTGGCGGCACTTTTACGGAGAGCACGTAGGAAGAGCAAGCCAGTCTTCTGACACGGGTTCTGAAGGTTAAGAGGGTTAAGATATAGCGTCCTGGTGTTGACGGGGCAGGTGTTCGTGTTCAGTGGCTCCTTGAAGATCAACATGAGTCCCCTGTTCCTCATGACAGTCTTCACTCAGGGAAAGTGGTAACGACTGTCTCAGAATCTTGAGGGCCACCTATAGCACAGTAAGTATCAGAACTCACCAGGAATGAAAAGTTATCTTCGATATAGTTCAGTCTTCCTTTCCAGTAGGACTTCTTCCCGTAGTAAATGCTTTTGCCACTGTTCCCTAGAACAGCTCTGTCCATCGTTAATAGGATTCTGGCCCTTAACCCATTTCCTTGTCCAGAACGGAGTGAACGCACAGGCGGCCATCAGGCCGTCCTCAGGTTAAACAGCTGCTCCTCCAAGAAGGCGCCCCCGAACCCGTACTGCTCTTCGTGCAGACTCATTTCTTCAGGTGACAAGTGGCTTCCTCCGAGAACAAAGTCTGCAAATCTGATAAGCATTTATTTGTTTTAAATAAGGTCAATGTCATCACAGAAAGGTTTATTTGGAAGATAACATGTTCTCTTGCTATTTATCTTCCTTAATTAAATCTGACTTTATGTCAATAGAGAACAGCAGTTATACACTGGATGTAAAAATGGCAGCGGCTTGTGGGATCCTTGTAGAGAAATTCAGGGGCAGAGCAGAGAAGCAGGCACGCTTACGAGCACTGGCCGCCACGGAACATACCCACTCCCGTTCGCTCGTTCCCTCCCTCGTTCTTACTAGATTCATTACTCACGGTTATTTTAGCACATCAATACTTTCCTTTCAATGCTCAGTCTGAGGGCACTGTTATTTGGATAAGGCTATGAAGAAGGGGAAGCAGTAAGGAAGATGATGTTGGGGCAAAGAGTCTCTCTTGTTCAACTTTGAAAATGATCTTCCATACCGGGGACCCCCATATGCACGAGATCTTTCTGCCCTTCCCTCTCCGACACGTCCGGTAAGTGTCTGTCCTGGCACTGGCAGTGGGACACGAGTCGGGACACTGAGGGAAAGCAGAGCCTCCTTGGCAGCCTCCGCCACCTGCTACCGGCAGGTCTGCTCCCGGTCTGAAGCGCACCCAGTGACCCACCGCGGCGCCCGCACACTCCCTCTACCCCACGGTCGGCCAGAGCACGGGGCAGGGCTTACTTGTTGGGGGCCCGGAGTCTGGAGACGACCACCCACGCCGGGAAGTCCGGCCTGCGGCAGGCGCGCCGCAGCTCCTCCAGGGCGCTGCTGGTCTCCGCGTCCACCTGCTCGCGGTACTCGTCCTCGGTGAGGAACCGGCCCGCCGGCTTGTCTGCGGCCCGCCACCGCTTCGTCTTCCTGAAACACGTAGCATTTGGTTGCTGGAGTCCTGGTCAGAGCTGACTGCTCAAGTCAATCCTTAAGACTTACAAAAACACGTTTCTTAGAAAGGAACAGTGACACCTGACTTCCTTGCTAGGACACTGGAGCTCAGGGCTCTTACCGTGACCGCGGCACACAGAGCATGCACAGCTGGGCCTCGCTCGGCATTTCCTCTCCTCCTGGACCGTCCTGAATTACATTTCTAGGAATTTGAGGCTCAATTTCTGACAGACATATTAATTGTATTTTTCATCTCAGTGACTTAACTGCACAAGCAGACCATGAAAAGTCTGCTCTTTTATGCTTGGTCCGCTCACTCTTGTAGGCACTAATGGAAGCAATTCTCTGAGATGCCCTTTTAAGGAGACCTGGTAGAATCAATGACCCCTTAACGCATAGACCCAAAAAAGAGAAGGGAGGATCTGTGGGATATCGCCTCCACCTAGTGGTGGAGATCCTGACTAATCCTAGAGAGGAGGAATAAATATTGTACAAGGATCATTTACGTACGATAATTTATAATAACTCCTCCCTTGCCATATGCTGAGGGGCTCATGACTGGAATTTTTTTTTTCCAATCAGGAAAGTCCTAAAGGGAAGAATCTCATAAAAATGGCAAGATGATAACGTTTTAACGCATCTGTTACATTTAACAATGAGTTTTTTAAAATATTCTTGGGTAGCTTAATAATTTAAAAAAATAAGCAAATAAAAATATTCTTGGGTGCTTTAAAATTTAATTTAACCAGAGAGTCCCAAATCTGGATGAGTATAAGAATTATCAGGAGGTGGTTTAAACAGATATCCACTTGAGGGTTGGGACCTGAAAAACCTTTAAACTTTTGAAGACTGTGTGGTGGTGAAGGGTCAGATCAGGGCACGGCTGACATTATTCCTTCTCTTTTTCTGAATACCAGTCCGGTCTCCCTCGAGGAAAACCTCTGGCCTCTGAGCAGAAGACTAGGGCACGACTCTGGCTTTGAGGTTTATCCCCAGAGTCAACAGAAGCAATTCCTTAGCCACTCTGAGCCTCGCTTTGCACATAAGAACAAAGTGAAAGCAGTAACGTCGACCTCACAGGTCACTGTGGGGATGAAATGAGGTATTCTGTGTAAAGGGCTTAGCACAGTGAGTGGCCTCTAGTGAGACTTCAACAAGGATGACTGAGAGAGTAGCGACCCTACACTAGGGCATATTCAAACAGCTCTTTGTAAAACTAAACTACTGTACAAATCAAGGTATCATTTCTCTGGTTTGTTAGTTAACCCGTATGTTCCTGTTTTATCCTGTTGTTCCTCACATAATTATTCACCGGCAAAATGAGAAGCTAAGGAAATCACAGAACATCGTATTAGGCTTACGTTAACAGAGTGTGCAAGTGCGCAGGACCATCATGCAGATAACAGAACACACTTCACACTTGGCGTGGCAACTGGATGTTCGAGGGGAAAGAGGCCCAAATTCTGTCTTGGGTTCCTCAAGCCGCAAGCCTGGCAAAGGGCTGGAGGCCTGGGAAATGTGGACTGGCCAGCCTCCTCCCGGCAGAGGGACCTCTGGGAATCCCAGTCACGTCAGCCTCTGAGGCAGGACCAGGAGCAGCAGCAGCCAGCAGCAGCCCCTCCGACCAGGCCCTGCTGCCTTCCGGCCTTGCCAGCGTTGTCTGCACGAGGGCCCTGTCCTGTCACTGGTACGTGCTTAACACGGTGACACGGTTACATACGCAGTCCCAGATCCGTAAACTGCCGCTTACCAGAGTCTCCTTCCTCTCGGCTAGGTTGGCCTCATAAATATTTATTAACTCCCTCACTGCCTGATTCTAGGCCCTCATCACCTCTGGCATGCTTGGCTGTGACGTCACTACCTCGGGGCCTCCCGGTTACACACAGCCCCTATGCCAGAGGCAGCTGGGCCACATCCTGCCACCCAGGGAGGTTCACGGTCTCCGCTTTGATCCTGACTGCTGAATGTATTTTTATTTCCAGAGTAGTTGCCAACATTTAAACATAAGAATTCACATTCAAATCCATATTCCCAGCTTTTCTAAAAAACAAAAAACAGAAGATCTGGCAAGGCAGGGCCCGTACTCCTTCATGGCAACAGTCAGCTCAAGCTGAGTAGTGACTGCCCCCTTTCTGAGGAGGCTGCACTGTAGAACTTCCCACAGTCCTCAGGCGCGCCCCAGCGCCTGACCCCTGCTCAGCATCGCCCCCTCGGTTCCAGCCCAAAGCCACTGGATTCATGACTCTGGTCCAAGCAGCAGGCAGAGAGCGCTGACTGAAATGCATGATGGCTTCTGGCCTCCACTACCTCAGACCCAGACGAGACTCCTTAGCACGGCCTGTGATGCCTCCACAGCGTTGCCGATGCCCACCGCGCTCGCCAGCCTCATGATGCTACCAGACCGGGCCATCTCCCTGTCAGGAAAGTCCTTTCCACATTTACTCACCTCGCTGTTTTAATTCATGAAGATTCAGCCTAGTAATTTCTTCTTCAGGCACTCCCGGGAACCCTCTCTATGTGCCGTAGTCCCTGATCAGGTATATCTTAACACTTCAAAGACACAGAACTGTAAGCTGCTGTCTCGACGAGCACGCCTCAGGGGGAGAAACTGTCCCTCCGTTTGTGCACCCGACTCAAAAAAAGGTGTCTGGACTCGATGACTAAGGGCAGACATAATACAGCTGTGGCAGTGAAGTTCCCTCATCTTTCTGTATTTTTAAAGGGCTTAAGCCTTAGCTTAAAACCTAAAAAAAAGTCCTAAGCATAAATAGTACTTTTCAATCATTTTTCTAGTTCTATTTCATAAGCACAACAAATACCTTTAAAGCAATCTTGGGCCCTAATGAAAGGAAATGTAGAATGAAAGTACAAATTTTAGGCAACCCAGAGTGTAAGTAATTTTGCCACTGATTTTAGTGAATTCTGGGTGAGCTGTAATTACCTAGTAACTGGGGGCAGTTCCCTGAAAGACTAATGAAGATGAGAGATGGAGATGGGATTCGACACTACATTCTCTAGCCTCCTCCTCTCTCAAATCCCCAGATGAAATATAGTTAATCATGAGACGAAATACGACACGAGCAAGAAACTTACCAAAACAATAAATAAAACCAGACCTCAAAATGTCCAATTTACAAGGCAAAAAAGATACGCACCACCTCACATAACTGAAGGCTTTCAGGGGGTAGCGCAGACTCCTGAAGGACAGGATGAGGACCATGACTGCATAAGAGCACTGGGGCACGGTGACCCCGCAGTAGATCAGGACCAGGGAAAGGAGCCGCAGTGTCCACGCCAGGAGATTTACACTCCTTTCATTGACAAGGGGCCCGTGTTTGTAACAAACAGCAAAGCTGACAAATCCCACCATTAGGACATAGCCTGTAAAAAAGCAGAAGAACTTGAAAATCTGAACTTGAAAAGCTGTATGAAAAATCCTGGCGGAGCCTTGACTTAAGCTAAGAACATATCAGAAAGCCTTCATATTTATGATTTCTTTTTCCAAAGAAGTAAGACTGAAAAACACATAGAGGGATGGTTACTCCTTCCATGTGACACTGCCTTTTGTAATAATCAAGGATATGCAATAATAAATTATTACGATATGTATCTGTTTTTTAGTCCAGAGTCTCAATGGACCAATGTTCTCATGGTTGCTCTGGTTAGGATTTAAGCCTCAGCGTATGTCACAGCTGGCTACAAACTCTATTTTTTATTTTTACTTTCTAGTTAAAAAAGGAAAGTACGATTTTATAACAGAGGGACCCCGCTGCACCCCCCAGTACAGTGCTCAGTTTCTGCACTAACAATGGTGGGACGATGAGACAGTCCGCATCTCCTACTGGGATCCGACTGAAACGTGCATTTCTCGTGTATCCCACTATGTGTTTCACTCATACCTAAGCAAGCCTCAAGATCGACTTTCCAGTTCATAAAGGGGAGAGAGGAGCAAGTTAAATTACACCACAAAGGAGTAATGAGAGAAATCCAGAAAGTGGGACACTCTGTAAGACAAGTAGATTGGTCTCGTCAGCATATCACTATGATGAAAAAAGGAATTGTTACGGATTTCAAAAGACTTACGAGACATCGCAGATGCAAAATATGGTTCTGGACTATATCTCCCCTTACACAACCAACCATCAAGGGCACTTAGGAAATCTAAACATGACCTGAGTAATTTATGTAATTATTATTTTTTAAATTTAATTGTTATTTAACTACAGAGGAAAATATTGTTTTTCAGAGATGCTTACTGAACTAGTCAGGGGGACATACCATGATATCTATAATCTACTTTAAAAATACTTTATCATGGGGGGTGGGCGCACCTGGGTGGCTCAGTGTGTTAGGCCTCTGCCTTCGGCTCAGGTCATGATCCCAGTGTTCTGGAATCAAACCCACATCGGGCTCTCTGCTCAGTGGGGAGCCTGCCTCCCCCTCTCTCTGCCTGCCTCTCTGCCTACTTGTGATCTCTGTCTGTCAAATAAATAAATAAAATCTTAAAAAAAAAAAGAAAAAAGAATACAGGCTAGTTTTATATATATATATATAACAAACTTTATCATTGGAACTCCTGGGTGGCTCAGTTGTTTAAGCGGGTGACTTGATTTTGGCTCAGGACGTGATCTCAGGGTCCTGAGATGGAACCCCACAGCTGAGTCCCCTGGCCAGCTACATGCTCAGAGTCTGCTTAAGGATTTTTCTCCTGCCTCTGCCCATCTCCCTGCACCCATGCACATACTCTTTCTCTCTCAAATAAATGAATAAATAAATCTTAAAAAATACTTTATCAAAAAAAGGAACGTTAGCTAAAGACAAAATATTCAATTAAAACAAAAAATTGATTGCTTTTGTTTTGGGTGGGTGGACTTATGTGAAAAATTTGGTGCTAAGGGGTTAGGAGAAAACTGATCCTCCCATTCTCCATGATTTCCCAAGTAGAACAAATAAATAATTTTAAAAAGCTGTTTGGTTTTGGTTACATGAAATAAAAACAAGTGGTTTCCTAATAGCCTCTCTGTTTCTGAAAATTCAAGTTTTCAGTAGTCATTTATATTTAGAATTTCTCACCTTTCATGCTGAATACATGAAGAAAAGGAAAGAGCCACATTTCAGAGAAATTTTTTCATTACAAGTTAGATCTAGCTAGAGCTTAAACACAATTCAATGGCATACAAGCAGTCAAAAGAGACAAACATTTTTTTTTTTTTTTTTTTTTGCTCTTTTGATCATTAGTACAGAAAACTAAGAAAGATGTCATAGGGAAAAAAACAGTCTAAAATGAGATCTATTGAACTGAAATCATCAACTGTGGGAATAAAATTTAAAAATACTTTTAACAGCACTTTTCCTTAGTTCAAAAGGAAAATTTAGACTCTGGAAAGAAATGTATTTCCAAAGAAGGACTCCAGTTGTACTTTTCAGCTTTACCAACAATAGAACATACTTTTAACAGATTTTTTAAAGATTTTTATTTATTTATTTGATAGAGAGAGATCACAAGTAGACGGAGAGGCAGGCAGAGAGAGAGAGAGAGAGGGAAGCAGGCTCCCCGCTGAGCAGAGAGCCCGATGCAGGACTCGATCCCAGGACCCTGAGATCATGACCTGAGCCGAAGGCAGCGGCTTAACCCACTGAGCCACCCAGGCGCCCCAATAGAACATACTTTTGAAAAATTACCTACCTAATACATATACTCTGTTTTCATGCCACAGCCACTTGAGGTCCTCCATCCATCCGCACACAGCATAAACTGAAGCAAACCAACAACCGACCATTAGAGCCCAAAAGGTGCTGTACTGTGTGCGGAAGAAAATAAATGACAGTTTTTGGTTCATTCACTCTCACAAAAATAGGAGTAAACAAATCAACCCTTTCTATTAGAAACTTCTACATCAAATTGCACTGATGTCAATTTGAGATACTCTCTAGAGTCTTGTTGAAGTTATGGTCCATGAACCAGCAGCATCAGCACCACCCAGGAGCCTGCTGGAACGCAGACTCTCAGGCCCCCTGGCAGACTAGGAGTCAGAGTCTACATTTCAACAGCATCCTCGGGACACTGGAAAAGCACTATTTTAAAGAAGAAATTTATCTCGAAATAATGCCGGTGTTACAAGCTTTAAAGAGAGTATCTGCAACGTTATCATCATGAACTACTATTTATCCTCAACTAAGTACAAAGCATTCTTTCATGAAAGGTGTTCTGGGAACTAATAATAATGAAGAAAATCCCCAGATATAGCAACGCAGCTATTCAAGGCCTTGATCGTTCAGCATCACAGCCTCCCTCAGCTCTGCTAAGACAAGACAGATTTCTACTCAGCACAGGTCAGCCCCCTGCCACTCATAAGAAAAATTTATTACCTAAAAGTAAAAAGGTCTCAAAAAAATTATCACCAAAACTTAATACTTACTTTATGGTATATATAGTAACAAATACAAACGGAAACTCTAGAGAAAGATACCTTTTCAAGTCAGTTTATACAATGTAGAAACACAGTTTTAATTAGGAACTGTCACAGTCAATGTGAATTAACTTTGATCAATTTTTCATGTCTATGAGATCATGGTTTCCCTCTTCTATTCATTTATACACAGTATGCCTACCTTAGGAATAAACCTTTTCACCAGCAGCAGGACAAAGACTAATGTCATTAGAACACCTAGCACGGTCCCAGAAGAGTAATAGAAAATAGGACTTCTGTCAAGACAAGCAGATAAAAGCCATTTAAATGTTAAGCAGGACTTTCAGTATTAAAGCCATGTTTAACCTGATACTAAGAATACTAAGAAGAAAAACTCAGATGGTACCTTTAATTATATCCTATACTCTTAAAAAATGAAGTCTGTACTTAAAATTTATGGTAAATAGCTTGCCACTAACTCAAAACAAAACGTCTAAGTTACCTTCTATGTTTAGAATCTGATGCAAGAATTACTGAGCACCTCCCATGTAGCAGACGCTGGTCTGTGAGCTGTGCATGCATTCACAACAGCCCCGTGAGGTGGCTAGCCAGGTCTCAATTTCACAGAGGAGAAAACAAAGGCACCAACAAATTAAAGACCTTCCCCAAGTGAGCATCTGCCAGCTGGAGGACTCAGGCTTGCAGCCCAGTCTCTCTGAGTTAACTGACTGACATTGGGTTCTAAAGGCCACAGATTACATTAAACACACTTAATTATACTACGAGAAAGATGAACACTATTGAGAAGAGCAGGCTAAGAAGTAAAATGTTATCGGAAAAAGACTCCTCTTTCATGAGAGAAGTGGTAATACGCAAAATATCAGGTTATGTTTCTCCAAGAGTCAGACACTTGTTAAATTCAACTTCTGTATCAGAGCCACAAATCTTGGAGGCAGCTTGACTCTAACAGAGAGAGCAAGGCATCTGGCATCAGAAAACCCGAGTAGAAATCTCAGCCCTAGCAAGAGCTGTCATGTGATGGTGAATGCTGGCCTTCTCATCTATGAAATTAGAACAATACAGCGCTGACGCAATTGTTAAGAGGATCAGATTTTTATTTATTTATTTATTTATTTATTTTAAGATTTTATTTATTTATTTGACAGAGATCACAAGTAGGCAGAGAAGCAGGCAGAGAGAGAGGAGGAAGCAGGCTCCCTGCTGAGCAGAGAGCCCGATGTGGGGCTCGATCCCAGAACCTTGGGATCATGACCTGAGCCAAAGGCAGAGGCATTAACCCAGTGAGCCACCCAGGCGCCCCGAAGATCAGATTTTTAAATGTATATTAATACATAATACAAAATAATACAAGTAAAAGCACTCCGAAATATACACATACATATCCCGTGTGCTGTTACTCAGTTTTTAAAGGTCTTTCAAGCACTATCTTCAGATCTATTGTTTGTAAAACTACAGCAGGAACTACAAGCTAGTGTGGAAATATTTAGCATGGGGTCAAAATTGTGCTATCCTCTTTTTAAAAGGATAAAAGATAATTGACAAAATTAAGAAAGTAAAATGGATACTTACTGACTCAACGTCTTTGCATAAAAGAAGAGGAAAACGCCTGCCACAAACACAAGGAAGAGTTTGAAATCCACAACTGGAGTAAAAAAGACACACACGACAAAGGTTTTACGTCAATGTAGTTAGTGAAAGAAGAGAAAACTCAATTTATTGGAATGTCACTCCAGAAAAACAAAATCCAGAAAATCAGAAAAGAGACTTACTGTTTCGAGTCACACTAATTGTATAGACAAATATCTTCTTGACAGGTTTCACAGAGAAGCACATGGTCTCTCCATATGGATTGATGATTATGGTTATTTCATTAGACTCCTTTGGTGTCCAAAAATTATGAATCATACACTTGATAAAAGATAGAATGGTTTCTGGATATTGACAATTATGTCTTTCTGTGATATATTCAATACTGAGCAGGCCTGAACTGTTAATTTTCACCTATAAAATAAGAACAAACAAATCCATAAACACATAAGCTCCTTCTCATAAGCTCCTTCAAATCATGAGCAGAGGAGTGAAGAGAGCCTGAGATAACAGAGTGAAGAACGGACAGTCAGATGTACACAATTCCGGGGATCCCAGTGATGGACCTGCAGATCCGTGTTTAGTTCGAACATACTGGAGCACAGAGACTTTGCGAGGTGGACGTTTCTTCCCCTGGGTTGTAGGTGATTTAACTCCCTCTTCTAGCAAGTTGTTGTGGCCAAGGGACATGTGAAAAAGGATGGCAGAAAGCAACAGGTGGCAAACTACTTGGTCTATAAAGGGGTTTCTAGCTCTACCACTGTGTACTGTGTTTGAGGAAAAGCACTTCTTCTGGATCAGCTGTGCATGTGCAATTCAGGCTTCTCTCCCCGCGCCTCCTGAAGAAGAATCCAACCACGGGTCCTAGTCAAGTCTCACAACAAAGCACCTGCTACAGCACCAAGCAGCCACTGACAATCCAGCCAGTGATCATTAAACGACAACTGTGCCGCTGCCTTTGTCTGTCCCTCTCTACTCATACTCTTCTTTGTCCAAGAGTAAGGTGAGCCGGAAAAGAAGAGGGAGATCACCAGCTCTCAGTCTCCGGCCTTAGGTGATATAAGCCGCTACCTACCTCCTTTCTCTTGGACTTCAGCTCCTGGCTCACTACTGCTCTCTATTTCCTGTCATACTTCTCGGGGATTCAATACACATAGTACACACACCAAACTCCTTCCTATGCTCTGACTCTCTGCATCTTGAACTCCTCCCCTCTTGTACTCTTGCCCTCTGCCGGGCCTCAGCTCATCCCTCCCACGGCCACACCCTGGACCCTGTCATCACCAAACTACAGACCCTCTATAGGTTGTTTTATGCATCCCACTGGCTGACCACCAACTCCTACCTTTCCAGTAAGCCCCTTATAGGACCTTGACCCCAGGAAGCCTTGACCTCACCACACATCAAGCATTTTCCCCCTGCTCCTCACCCCTTCCTTTCCAGCTAAATTCCAAGGTCAATCATTATAAAATCATTCCCTTGCATGTACCCGCCTCCTTCGCACCGCTCTTGCTTTGTCAGCCCTACCTGCAAAATCCAACCCTCCAACCATTTCACGCTTGGATTTGTACCACCAAATGGCACCAGATAAACACACAGCAGTCTGACTTCAAGCCCGAGTGTGAGCCTGAAATGGGACGTAAAGCTACAGGTGATCATACCACACATTCCTATCTACTCTCTACTCTCTTCAACAAAGATGTCATAGCTTTTCCCTTCTCAACACCAACACCTCCTCCTCACCCTCACTCTTGGCTGAAAATGGAAGAAGACGAAGTCAACAGGCTCCCAACCCATTACCCAACCAGCAGTGAGTACCTGCAGGGACGTGCTCTGCTTCCTGCCTATGGGGAGGAACTTTCTGCCAGAGAGGAGATTTAAAGGAGATTCAAAGGTATCCTTTAGAGTATCCTTTGTCTACTCAAGGACATCATACCAATAGTCCTGCCCTTTCTATTGGACCATCCTACTGATGTGGGAAACAAAGACAAAAGAAAAATTAAATTTCCTTACTACCTATAGCCCACTGGTTAAGTCCTTGAAACAGGCAGAATGACATTCCTCTAGAAACTAAGCTGCCTGGATGTTAATACTTTGCTAAGGGCAAAAGGCAATCTTAACCCAACACCCAGATCCTGTAAGTCTACTTTACACACAAAAATTCCTTTGGAAACTTCCTTAATCTTTATCTCTCCAAGATACATGTCAGCAATCATCCCCCAAGCATATGACCCACCAATATACAACTGAAGGGTCTGATAACTAAGGTTTCATTAGGCAGTAATAAATGACTTTTTCCCAACAACAGCTAGCCCCCTCAAGGTTCTGGAAACCTTGCTTCCAAAATTCCTTAGAGACTTACGCTGTCCCTAATCCCCTCCCAACTTAAGAGAATATAATGGGCCACTCCTCGTGACCCCAGTGTAGCTCTTTCTGCCCATGGGTCCTGTCCCCAGCTTTAATGAAATCACCTTTTGTACCAAAAATGTCTCAAGAATTCTTTCTTGGCCATTGGCTTCAAACCTTAACATCTTTCCTACATCACTATTAGCATACAAACATGTTGATACTTTTCCCATGGTGGGTGGGGGGGAGCCTTCTATTGACTCACTTTCCCCTCCAACCATCCCTTTGCTTCCCAGTGCAATCAAATTCTCTTAAAAAGGTACCCATACCTGCAGTCTTCAGTTCTTTTCCTCCAATTCTCTCTTTAACCCTCTTCAGTCATGGAGTGTTTCATGCCCAAAAGGCTGTCCCTGACAAGGTCACCAGCAGCCTTCACGTTGTTACAGCCAATTCATTCTCAGTCACCACATTTGATCCATGAACAGCATTTAGCACTGCTCATCACTCCCTTCTCCTTTTAACACCTTCTTTGTGCAGTGCTCCTTCTCTCTCTCCTCTGTTGGCTCCTTCCTCCTCCCTATGTGTAAGACTAACCCAGGCTCAGCTATTGGTCCTCCAGCTAAACTCACTCCTTAGCACTGTCTATAAACACGCACCACTGCTTACTTTTTCAGAAAGTAACACAGGAAACATACAGAACCTAGTAAGACTGCTACCCACAAGGGCTAGATAGGAATAGGTAGAGGAATGAGGGGGACTGACACTTCTCTGAGAATACTTCTGCATAGAATTGCAATTTAAAACCATATTAATTCCATCCCTACTAATACATGTTAATAAGATCAACTAAGATAGGGAAAAAACCTGAAAACAATAAAAACAAATATATTTCAAATGGAAATGGCAACAAATAAAACAAAATATATTTCAAATGAATAATATAATCATATTAAAGGAGGTGTGTGGGAATGAGTTAACCTAAGTGATTCTGGAGCACAGTATTTAAACTATACACTCTCACACTAGAGGTAAAACACACTCTAAACAAATACTGACAAATAAATTACTATTCTAGCATTAGACAAATAAATCAATATATTGAGAATAATGAAAACTAGTTTCCCCCCATCAGAGAAAAAAGTTACAAATATGGCAAGGAGATGAGAACGAACCCAGTAGTATGGAAGATACCAGAACTCGTGTTTTTCAACAGATGGAGAGACAGAAATAGAACGTCCACAGGTGTATGGGTGTGTATGTTTCTGTATGTACACATATGACAATGGTATCCCAGCACTAATAAATACACCCAACGCTGAATGCTCCTTGAAAAAAATGTATGATTCCAGCGTCGGGCTGAAGAAATTATAAAATAAGCCTGGAACATCTTTTTTACCAGAAGATGCTCAAATGATAGGCACAAAATAAAAGGACACATGAGCCATCTTAAAGGTGCTCTTACTGGCCAAATCTAGGACGATGTGAACGTCAGAGTAAATAATGAGGTAACGGACTATAATCCACTGGATGAATGGGCAATTGTGACACTGTGTGGATACAAACAAACTGGAGGAGGAAAACCTCTTCCTTACTGAAGAGCACTGATGGATGTGGAAAGAATCGTGGAATTAGAAAATGACCATTTGATAAACATCATGATGATAACTGATTCATGCAAGGATCATCAATGGATGATAAAACTAGGAAGTGAAAACCTGATGAGAGAGGAAAAGGACATCTACATAGTTTCAAATTACCTCCTCAAAATACTCATTTACTAAAAGGGCAAAATGGTCACTTTATAGTGGTAAAATTGTAAATTTCCAGAGACCACCTTAACCAGGTGATCAAAGTGGTGTGTATCATCAGTAATGGCACAAATAAACATCCTGTGCCTTCTGATACGCTGTCCTATCTTTTCCCTCAGCGTAGAATATGCTCTCTTCGTATAGTATCTTGGTAACTCATGAACTTCATTAACATCTTTCTCAAATATCACCTTCTCAACAAGAACTACCCTGACCACTCTTTTTATACTGTAACTTACTCCCCACCTCCCTCATTCCACCTCCCTTACTCTACATTTTCTGTTTTCATGGCACTTACTCGTTTTATAATTTTCTTCTCTACCTCCTACCCCTAGGAGTCTAAAAATCATAGGAACAGGGATCTGTTTTAGGATCCTACGATACTGATGTATCCTAAGAGCCAGTAATAGTTCCTAGCCCTTAGCAAGTGTTTAATAAATATGTTAAGTGCTGAATGAAGGGAAGTACTAGGCTACTGAGATTAACTATTATCTTGGCCATCCCTGGGATCAGAGAAGGGCTTGGGATAGAAATTATTTTGGAAAGTAGGAGAGAGGGTGTTGTCTTGAGTTGTGTCTGAACAGTGAGCACACTGTGCTCGCTTGGATACCATATTTCTTTGGAATGGTTTGGAGAAGGGCTGATAAAAAGCATGAAGAGTTAATGTTCCCTTCCACATGCCCCTTTCCCTTGGGTCACTCTATGTGATTCCCGAGTCAGCTTTCGTACTGATACGCTGCTCTATGCCATACAAAAGCTATTTTTTATTCTTGAACTAGAACATTTTAATTCTCAGTTCCTAAGACATGATTTAAATGTAGGCTCTTACCTGCATAGTTGACCACATATATTTCCACTCCATTTGGGAATTTCGATTGTAGCAGTAACAGTCCGAATCAGATGTTGTAATAAAATCCATTTCCTTCAGAGCTTTACACCTTAGAACTGAGAGACGGAAAAGAGAAGTACTTCCTAAAATATTTTATTTCCCAGAATCTTTTTTTTCTTTTTCTTCACAAGAATAATGCTGTTTTTACATTCTCTAACCAATGAATTTTTCTACATGGTAGTTACCGTCCCTCAGTCTTTCCAGCCCACAGGAGACAGACAAAAAAATTACAGTCCCGTGTCAATTCTCTTACGATATATGGAAGGTACTGTAGGAACACAGAGAACAGGTACTTCAGTCTTGGAGCAGAGGGTAAGAATTGGGGGCAGCTTCCTAGAAAGGGGGAAATGTGAGAGAGCACTGAAGGGGGAGCCGGAGGCAGCGAGACAGAGAAGACAGGTCAGAGGGCGGCAAGAGATGAGGGAAATCACGGAAGCGGTTTAGTCATTCACCGAGGATGGCGTACGGGGAATACACGGGGGCCTTCCAACATCTGCAGGGAGAAGCAAACAGTGGCCACCACTTCAAGGAGTACAGACAGCGCGTTGAATGCAGAGCACTGAAGCCCTTTTAGGTAAGCATCAAAGTCTCAGCAGGAAACTGCTGACACTCCCCAGGGTTAAACGGAAGAGTTCAGGAGGCTGGGGCAGAGTTAAGGCATTAACACCGTGAGCTAAGGCACTGGGAACTTCCTAGACATCAATGACAGCAGAAAGCCTGTAACATCCCTAGGCCTGAAATGGCAAAGGTAGGGCTTGATGTTACTGGAGCTTCTCAAGCCAGGAGGACAGTCTAATGGGATGCAATCCCTGACAGAACGTGGGATGGTGGGACGAAGGGAGCACTACGTCAGCCTCTGTCTCCTGCCCTCCTAGCAGGGCCTCTCACTGGCCAAACACAATGGGAACCAAAGGGCCTTTGAAGCAGCCCCAGTGATACAGCCCACAGACGTCAGCTTCCAGACACTGAGCAGGGGAGGGAAGGACAAACAAACAGAGAATAACCAGTTTTACCAGGGAAACAACAGGCACTCAGTTGTGTTTTAGAAAAAGCATTCTCTAAGCAACGTGCAATTTTAGAGGTGAAGAAGACTCAAAGCAGAAGAACCACCAAGGAGGTTACTACAGCAACCTAAGCAAGGACAGAGCTGGGTAGGAGGGAGAACGAACAGATTAAAGACCACTCATGACCGGGCACCAACAGGCTCTGGAGAGTCATTAGATAAGGCAGCACAAGAAAGGACAGTTCTGTTAAGTGGAGAGATGGCAAGGCTCTTCACGCCAATACGGAACACCATTGAAGATGTAAGCTCGTGCAGGGAAAGGGGGATGAGTTCAGTCTGGGACATAACTAAGTTCTGGTTGTGGGACTATGTGAAGACGGACGGGTCTGCAGCACAGGAGAAATCTGGAGACAGAAGTAGATACATATGTGTGTCCGTGTGTATAAACATACGCATTTGTGTACTATATGTAACATTAAATAATGTGTAACACAACACCATATACCATAGTATACAGAGGAGGAGAGACAGGTGCTTTATCAGAGAGGGTAAATAGCATAAGAAAATTATTAAGTAATGGGGTTTTTATTCTGTGGCTGCCTCTGTGCCAGAATTTAAAATGAGGTGAGATGCTTTTTATTCCTCAGTCAGGGTTGGAGGCCAAGATCTGCCCTTGGGGATCACGGTCAGGGTTGCCACAAGCTGGCAGGCTTGTTTTCCTGTCTCAGACATCTGTGCTTACTGGGAGCCCCCACTTGGTCTACACCAGGCGTGCTGACCCCCCAGCCAGACTAGGGTCTGAAGTGGCAGCACCGGGCCCTGGGCCCTTGAGCTCTCCTTGGATAGTGCCAGGTTCTCACAAGCCAATCCTGGCCTGTGTTGCCCCCAAAGTAGCTTGGCGCCCGGCCTGCCCACAGGCAACACCTAACAAACACACCTAAACAGGTAGTCATCTACCACAGAGATGCCTGTGAGGGAGTGGGGCACTCACCTCCTGCTCTCCTACAAATAATGGCTTTGGCCCCAGGACCTATCACTGGGGAGGACAGGGTGTCCAAAAGTGGAGAATTCGGCTGTGGAAGGGGCATCTGAGGCCACCTAACTATTCTTCCCTGCCTGGATTAGTTGGGTACCAGCCAGGCTGTTCCATCCAACCACTCCAAGTCACGTCTCCCATATGTAATCCCCTACAGGACTGTGAGGAGCAGGGTGGTGAGGGAGAGTGTGAGTGGGTGCTGAGGAGGAGCTCTGCAGGCGTCTGGGCAAGGAAGTCAGACCTGACACTCAGTACAGCAGCCACAAGCACAAAAGCCCCAGTTCTTTTTTTCTTTTTTTTTAAGATTTTATTTATTTATTTGACAGACAGAGATCACAAGTAGGCAGAGAGGCAGGCAGAGAAAGAGGGGGAAGGAGGCTCCCCGCTGAGCAGAGCCCGATGTGGGGCTCGATCCCAGGACCCTGGGATCATGACCTGAGCTGAAGGCAGAGGCTTTAACCCACTGAGCCACCCAGGCACCCCAAAAAGCCCCAGTTCTAAGGGTTCGCCTTTTCCAGTCTGACAGCTCTGGCCTCACACAGTTGCAAGTGGGAAATGTTCTATGCTGAAGAGCCTACTTCCATCAGCTGACAAAATCATGTTTTAGAGAAGTTTTCAAGTTCTGTTTTTCTTCAGAACAAAAGTTCTGAAAGCATATTTTGTTCTAAAAGCAATAAACCACTTTCTGCGGGGAAAACAAATAAAGTGAACCGAGATGAAAATCCTAAATTCTTCTGGATCCAGGATAAGGTGACATCACCGGCTCTGTCAACAGGAAACAGAGAACAAACGCTGTAGGCACACAGAGAAAGGGACCTTATGCCCATCCCCCATCTCCTTCAAGGGAAGTGCCAGCACAACCCGCTACAGCGAAGATGAGCAAGGACAGAGTAACTAGTAACTAGTCACAATTTCGTCCACTTCAGGAATAATACCGAATGAGTCCACACAGGTCCACGGCCTGCTAGAAGCGTCCTAAGCATTCTGCTCGAGAAAGTGCAGACAGACTTGGGGAGAAGATGCAGAGAGTGCCCACCCATGTGACCACACGAAAGTCACAAGAGAATCCAGTATTTTCCATCGGGACACTGTCAAATCATTTAATCTTTACTCTTAACATGGTGAGGAAATGCATATGTTTTTAAATATATGAACAAATTTGCTGAGTTTGAGAATCTGAGATGCAAACACAAGAGTCTACGAGACAGGTCTCAAAGAGGCACGTGAAGGAAGGTCCAGAGGCCCTCTGCATAGAGGATACGAAAAATTAAAAACGCTTCCCCCAGCATGGCCTGTTTATAAACAAGACCAAAAGGAGAATGCAGAACCAGTGTGACCAACACAAAGCACCCCATGCTGAGGCGAATTCTCGGGTATATCTGAGATGCAAAGGACTCCTGGCCACAGCCTATGCAGGGAGAGGGCACTCCTGGCCATCCAAGGGCCGCAGCCAGCTGTAGAAAAGACCATGTCAGAGGCAGTGTAGAACCCGGGAGCACCTGAGCAGCGAAAGCACATTACAAGCCTCCAGGTAGTGGAAGCAGAGGTAGGACTGGAAGGAGGGCTGTGGACCGGCCTTCTGGTGTCCCTCGTTGTGCCTCTCCAGGGTCTCCTGTGGTGTCTCTGAGCAGAACAGGGCTAAACCAGGTGGCAAGAGCTGACAACTTTACACCGGGGGTCCTCAATAAAAGAGGGGAATCCCTGCCTATTGTTGGAAAGGGAGTGCATTCCAACAGAAAAGGGGAAGGGTGGGGATGCCCCAGGTCCAGACCGCAGCAGCCCCAGACCACTGTACAAACACTGACTTCCAGCCAGCTCTCTCTTCAGGCTTTCTCCTAATACCACACTTGTGCCCAATGTTAGGCGCTTTTCTTTTCTTTTCTTTTTTAAAGATTTTATTTATTTTATTTGACAGAGAGAGATCACAAGTAGACAGAGAGGTGGTGGGGGGAAGCAGGCTCCCCGCCCAGTAGAGAGCCCGATGTGGGGCTCGATCCCAGGACCCTGAGACCATGACCTGAGCCGAAGGCAGAGGCTTAACCACTGAGCCACCCAGGCGCCCCTGTTAGGCGCTTAAGGGTGACGCCAGGGCTGCCGCTTGCATTGCCTCTGCTGGTGAGCCCTGCTGCTTCAAGGAATCAGCCCCGTAAGAACAGGGAACTACTGCTCTTGTTAGCGGTTTGAGGGAATAGCCTCTTTCTGGGACCTGAACTTTGCAAACAAACACTGCCCTCCAATGAGTTTTTTTCTACTTGGTCCTAAGACCATCTCCTAAATCATGCGACGTCTGTAACTCTTACGAGCAAGATGGTGTAAAACAGTGCGGTAATTTGAATTCAGAAGTAAATGCTTCTCTGTCATCCAAGCCAGTCTCCTTGCACTTGATTACTGTACAGCCTGGTTTCCGTGCTTCCAGCACCACGCCGTGACGTTCCCCTGCAGGCCATTCTCCACTGGCATATAGATCATTTAACATCATCAATCAGAGCACATCATTTACCTGCTGAAAACCGATGACTTCAGGCTGCAACCACAAAATCCACCCTCCCTTCCAAGGACCTAGTACCTCTGACGTTCTCTCCTCTTCTCCCTTCTCTCAGCTGCTCAGGCCACACCAGCCCTCCCGCGCTCAAGATGCTGAGACACTCCTGCCTCGAGTTTCCCTACTTGCTGAGTCCTTGACCTGCAATCTGCTCTCCGCAGCTTCTGGCAGAGCGTCTCCTGATAACTGAGGTTTGCCCAAACGTCACCTCAGGAAGGCCTTCTCAGACCCCACTGTCTAAAATGGCACACTCCAACCCCTTTCACCCACTTTCTTCTCACTCTGCTTTATTTTTCCTCATACTATTGTTAGTTTATACTCTGTCTCTCCATAAAGTTAGGGACAGCATGTTCATTACCGGATCCCCAGCCTTTAAATATCTGCCTTTTGTACGTAGGTTGTAATTTGAGAGTGTTGGTGGGTCATTTGGGCGTGCGTAGCAGAGACAATGAAAGCCTGGCCAATCTTTGTAAAAGGCTGCCCGGTACCAGTCAGCACCATAAAAGGAGGTGCACTCTGGCCTTCCCCTTGAAGCAACCTGATGTAATCAGACACCCCATCCAGCCTGGGTCACATCCCACCCACGGAACCCACAGGCTACATCTCCCCCTCACCCCACCTCATCATCAATATACCTTAACTACAGGGTTGAAAGCTGTAATCCTTACGATCCCTTGGGCTAGGGACCTTCTTTATCCTTCCCGGATAGAGAAGAACAGAGAGAAGCAAGAAACAAGAAGCTTGGTTTTGTTTTACTCATATATAGCACATCAGTGTATCCTGCAAAAGGGACCTCCCAGTTAGATGAAAGTAACTTGCTCTGAATTTCTCCTCAGTCCTCTACAGGATTAAGCAAAGTACAGACAGAGGTAGGTTGCTCTGGTATGGATACCCACTGAAACACTACTAAAGGCATGTTGTGAGGTGCTCCCCTGGAATTCTCCAGAGTGGCCTCTGGCTTTTGAGGTGAAGCTGATGTCAAATTTACACAACACATGAGACATAACAGACGGTGTTAGCATTTCATGGTGTCCTCTGGCTACCCTCATTATTACTAACTCTCTTCAGAGATGAACTTCATTCAGTTCACTTAAGAGCCCCTAAACATCTAAGGAACTAGAAACAGCTACAAGAAACCACAAATCCAGCTTCATGGCAGTTCGTGTAAACCTTAAGCCATAGGCTAGCTGGGCTAAGCATAAAGCAGTAACTGTGACAATCAACACTGTTTATCTAGGCTTCTTCTAGAGACATTTTACTATTCAGTTTTTACTTCCTCCATCTCCACCTGAGGGAGGGAACAGAAGATGCAGCAACGGGACTGCTTATCTGAAACCTATACAGCTGCTCGAGCCCCGAAGTCTGGGAAGCTGCCTGCTGTCTGCGGGCGTCATTTATTCACGGGGCCTCAGTCTTTGCTGGTTCATTCTGTCAAGATGGAACTTCCTAGAGGCAGATGTAGGCAAACCCAAAGATATCACAATGATACCAACAAAATGCTCTCACAGTACAATTCAGAAAACAAAAGGGAATTTCTAGGGATTCAGAAAAATGTAATAATAATCATTCATTTGATCAGACGAGAACAATACCTGCCCAGGGACAGCTACTGCTTCCACCTGAGGCTGAGTATGTTTCCACCCCTAGAAGGTGCCCCACAACCCAGGTATTCACGGCCTCAAACCTGATCCCAGATCTAGAGAAAGATCTGCAGGGCCAACCCTGAATGCCATCCTTCCTACGCCTACCCCCAGCAAGGCTGCGTCGCAGCCATGACATGATCATCACCTTCTGCAACTCCCTGCAGTCCTCAAAAGGTTCTCTCGATTCTGCAATAAAACTGACTTCTGACTTTCTGGACAGTTGCGCCCAGACTGCTAAGACAAAGCATAATTATTTACATTACCAAAGAATTTGAGTCAGGGTGACCTTACCCAGCGAGATTCCTTAGTTCATTTTAAATAGTACTCAATTTATAAATATTCAATTAATCTAATTTAAGACTATATAGCTTATATAAAAAAGGGACAGATGGGTTATCACCCGCTTTAATAAATTACATTTAAAATTACTACTTTGTACAGCTTTTGTCATTTATTAGTTTTCCTAAATGTAAAAGGACATATTTAAGTTAAAGAATTTAGTCATACATAAAGTAAAAATATTCAAAACTTCAGAAAAAGGCAGGTAGTACTTAAGCCTACTTATAGAATATGCTAAAAATAAAAAGCACAAACACTCCTCAAATCTCAGCAGATCTTAAACAACTTCCAACATAAAAATACTTCAGCAATGTTCCTTCTAAAAATTTAACCTTCATATGGCCCTCATATGGGAAGAAAATATCTTCAGATGAAACTATAACAGAATAATAAAATCACTTATTAAATTAGAGAGCCATTTTCTCCATTTGGCCTATTACTGCTTTTCTTTTGGGACAAGAAGAGGGAAAAAAATAAAAACAAAAAGCAAAAACCAACAAACCTTAGCTCCTGAAAGCTCAAAGGAAGGATTTTTCTGGGTATTATTTGTAGATTCACATTTTCAAAGGAGTTAGCATGGAGCACCAAAGTTAGAAGGTAACTTCTCTATTCTATTAACCCTAGTTTAACCAGAATTGACTATAAATCTTGATTTTTGTTTCTCCAAGAATGTGCATAGAAAATGAATCTGAAATTAGCACATACTGATGCACATTCAGGCCGATTTTAACTTCAAGGACTGATTTTTCTTCTCCTTAGATGAATTTGAAAGTTGTGGTTTCAAATGGCCTATCACTACATAGTTCAAGCCTGGGAACTCAACACGGTGGCCTGAACTACATCATAAGACAACACATGGTTTCAAGGGTCCTCAACCTGGGCTGCAAACCATGAGTAATGTTCAGCCAGCCAACTACCTGCCTCTCCTGTCACTTGCCTCTGACCTTCCTCCAAATAGGGTGACAGAAAGCTAGCCTGGCTCTGGATGTTCTCTGTTTTATGGAAGGGTGTGTGTGCATTGAAGAGAATTTTACAACAATAAAGTATCATCTAATCCAAGCTTCTCATGTTATAAATGGGCCCTATTATGAAAGGAAGTCCCAGCTGTTTGATCTCAGTTCATAAAATCACTTTTACAGCAGCAATGTTCCTTAGATCTAGTCTAGTCCAAGGGTTCCAAAGTGGTGTCACCAGCACACCACAGGATCCAGGATGCTCCACAGCCTGTCCCATATAAAGCGTATCTGGAATGGCAAGAGTTGCTATAAGGCTTCATAAGTTGCCATTTTTCTTGGCTCTGCGCTAGAATTTTTATCAACTCAGTGTACCTCCTGCATGTCTTGGGCAGAACAGTAGTTCTGACATGCATTTACGTAGCTCTCTGGCTAATCAAACAAAGGAAGTCATAGTTAACACCAAATGTTGTAACACAAACATGAGAAATACTGGGTTCACAGAAGGAAATAAAAAGGTGGAAGAAAATGCTGGAAATCATTCCACAATGGAACAACTTTATCGTATGATGAGAAAACGACGGTCGATAAAGACTATGGGCCCGGACCAAGGTAATTCTACGAGTGGATGGGGGCATGGAAGGAAAGTCTAGAAGTGAAGGTTCTGGATGTTGATCCGGGCCTACTTAGAAGTTTCTGGCTGCTGCCATGCTCAGAAACCCTCCGTCTTGGACACGTCTGTGATTTATCTGTTGATCCGTGTAGAATGGTTACATTTCTTACTACTAAGCCTGCCTTTCCCCATCTATAAAATGGGTATCTAACGGTACTTGCTCTCAGAGGACTATTACAGGCATTGGACAGGATAATGCACTCAGAGCACTTTTAACACTGCTGACACTTCGTGAACACTCAACAACTGAGTGTTCGATGACCACCGGTACAGAGCGGTCGCCCAAAGTGGAAGTCACTGCAACAGTCCCAGGGGTTGGCAGCTCCGGCAGAATCCAGCCGTCATCTCCATCCTTAGACAAAGAACCCCGACCTCGCAGGAGGAGGTCCTCTGTCCAGCCTGCAAGACCAGGCTTGGTTGCTCCCTGCAAACAGAGGTGGCCGATGAGATGAGAAGCTGGTGGACAACAGCTCCAGGAAACCTTTAAAGGACGTTGTGCGGGGGTGGGGGAGGGGGCGGAACGATGCTCTGCGCGTTGTGAGCAGCAGCTGCCCCTCCGCGCGGGATCCCGGGAGCACCCCCCGCAGGGGACCGCGGCGGCGCCCCAGCAGCCACCGTCCCTCGTGCCCGCGTCCCACCGCGCGCTGACCTCGCAGCGACGCCGCGGGACACGCAGCATCGGGTCACGCGGGACCGGCCGCGGGTCCCGCTCCAGGCCACAGAGCCCGTCCGCGGA